AGGAATGTTTTCACCTGGCACCTAAAGGCGTATACAGTCAAACCTCATGTTACGTTTGCTTTTGGTTGAGTGTTTTCAGGTTGCGTCCCGCGGCGATCCAGAAGTACCAGAAAGGGTTACTTCCGGGTTTCGCCGCTCACGCATGCGCAGATGCGCAAAATGATGTCACACACATGCGCAGAAGCGGCGAATTGCGACCTGCGCACACGCAGGTTGCGTTCTTTTCAGGTTACAAACGGGCCTCCGGAACGGATCCCGTTCGCAACCAGAGGTACCACTGTAATGATGGCGCCAGACGAACCTCCTCGGGGAGAGCATTCCACAAACTATTGTAATAGTTATGACAGGACACTGTGCAAAATTAGTTGGATAGTCTATGGCATTCTGTAAATGCTATTATCATCACTAGCCTCTGACTGACAACCTCATCTGACGGAAGTGCAAAACACCCCCACCCGAGAATGTTACCACGCAATCCATGGAAGAGAGAGGCTGGTTTGCCTGCCTCTCTGGACTAGGTTAAACTGGGAAGGTGCAACTCGTAAGAATGTAAGAAGAGCTTGCTGGATCAGGCCAACGGCCCATCTAGCCTAGCCTCCTGTTCTCACAGTGGACAACCGGATGCCTGTGTGAAACCCACAAGCAGGATTTGAACACAAGAGCAACTCTCCTCTCCTGTGGGGTCTCCAGCAACTAGTATTCAGAAGCGCTGCTGCAATCCCTTATCCAAGCTTCAGGAGCCTGCCAAATTCATGCCTCCTTGTTTATGGTGAGAACCCCCCAACATTCCAGAGGGGGCTTTCTGGCCAGGGGCCCTTTGGAAGACACAAAAACCACCCCACTAATGGGGGGGGGGAGAGAAGGGATGCATCTCAGGGAGGATAAATTTGTTCTTCGGGGGGAGCGAAAGAAGGATGACACCCCCCCCCTTCAGAGCAAAGAAGGCATCTGATTCAGTGATTCCTTTGGCTTTGGGCATCTCCTATTGCAGCATAGGCACTTGGCTCCCCTCTCTGCACACCCCCTTCCCGCGCTGAACATATGGGGACTTCTATTCAGGCCTCCGAGCCCGGGAGTTCTGGGTGAGCGACTCCGGGAGCCCAAAGGGCATGTTTGAGTTTGTGCTCAGCGCCTGCGAGCCGGGCCCTCCTGACAGGTGGAGGAAGAGGAAGCTGGAAACTTGAACTTTTGGCCACAACAAAAGCTTCTGTCCCCAGCAGCGGCGGAGGCCAGTTAAACAGCACTTCTCTCACTCTCCCCACACCCCACCCGCCGTGCCCCAGATGTTACTGTTTAACAGCCGGGGGGCTTTAGGGAAACTTTCGACTTCTTTGGGAGGTGCTTCGAGGTTTGCAACACTTACAGAATGAGATCCTTCCCACCCCCTAAACACACACACCGGCAACATAATGGTCTCAAGGGAGAAAAACAGGGCCAGCTTCCTAAAAATGGCCTGTCTAATCAGCCCATTGTCCTCCACTGCTTTCATCCCAAAAGCAAAAGCCCAGTAATCCTAGAATTGCATAGTTGGAAGGGACTCTCAGGGGTCATCTATTCCAACACCCTGCAATGCAGGAATTGCAGATAAAGGACCACTGACAGGTGGCCTCCCAACCTCTGTTTAAAAACCTTCAAGGAAGGAGAGTCAATGAGCTCCCGAGGTAATCCGTTCTACTGTCAAATAGCTCTTGCCCTCAGAAAGTTCGTCCTAATGCTAAGTCAGAATCTCCTTTCTTGCAGGTTCTCCCACCTGCAGCAGCAGAAAACAAGCTTGCATCATCACCATCATTTTAACTGTATGCAGCCTTTGAATACTTAAAGCTATGCTGAAGGCGGCTTACAAAATAAAAATATTTATGTAATTACAAATATAACAGAAGTAAAAGGTAAAGGGACCCCTGACCATTAGGTCCAGTTGCGGACGACTCTGGGGTTGCGGCGCTCATCTCGCTTTATTGGCTGAGGGAGCCGGCGTACAGCTTCCGGGTCATGTGGCCAGCAGGACTAAGCCGCTTCTGGCGAACCAGAGCAGCGCACGGAAACTCCGTTTACCTTCCTGCCGGAGTGGTACCTATTTATCTACTTGCACTTTGACGTGCTTTCGAACTGCTAGGTGGGCAGGAACAGGGACCAAGCAATGAGAGCTCACCCTGTCGCAGGGATCTGAACTGCCGACCTTCTGAATGGCAAGCCCTAGGCTCCGTGGTTTAGACCAGTAGTCTTAATAAGTAAACCACACCAAAAGGCGCACAACCGAACTGAACAATTTCCACATAAATCATAAGATCTAAAAATACAGTATACAAAAAATTAATATCAACAAGAAAACAACGAAAACCCCTAACCAACACCCCAGCGCAAGAGTCTGTTCAGCAGCCTCAGCTTTTGTAGCTGGAGTCAGTCCAGGCCCTGCCTCCCAGGCCAGGTAGAAATAGGCCTGCAAGGCAGGGAGCAGGTCCTCCAGGACTCACAGCCAAGATGGTCCATCTTCCATGTGACAGCCCTTCAAAGAGGTGAAGGTGAATATTCTAGCGTGTGACATCTATGTACAGCCCTGACCTTGCAGGCGGACAAGGCAGGCAGAATGGTATCACAGGGAGAGCCAATGCCAGCTTTTGCAAATGTTGGTGAAGATTACCGTATTGTTCCGTGTATAAGACTAGGGTTTTTACTTTAAAATAAGGTTAAACATCTGGGGGCGTCTTATACACAGGTAGTGCATGTGCCCATTTTCTAAATTTGGGGTCCCCAAAAGTAGGGGGTGTCTTATACATGGGGGTGTCTTATACACAGAAAAATACAGTAATTTCTGGATATCTTAGACATGTAACATTAAAGCATTACTGTTCTCCTGCTGCTAGCCTAACTCAAGCCCACACTATTTTCTGAGTGCAAGAGGGGATGGCTGGAAGCTGTGTCCCATGAGGGCACAGTGGTGGCTTCCAGAGCACATCGTCCAGCCCGGGCCAGCTCACAGGAGCAAGGGGGTCTGGGGAGGCATTTTGGAACCCAAGCTCGCACCATCTCACCTCAGTGCCAGCCTGGGACCTTCGACAGGCAAGGCAGACGGTCCACCTCTCAGCTGTGGTCTTTCCCGTTTCCCAAATTATATGCCATCTGAAGGTTTGAACAAGTGGCCGAAAGCACTTCCAGAATCGCCTGCTGGGAACGTGAAGCCGAAGCAAGGAGGTGGGAGGGAAGGAGGCCCAGAGACCTGGGCTGACTCAAAGATAATCAGGCCGCTTCCTGCAATTACTGCCAGGGGCCCAGTTCGCTGCCCATCAGGAGCGTTGATGCAGGCCAGACCTCGGCTGCGTTGGGCACAAGGAAGCTATTTCCTGAGACAGGCTGGGAAGAGGTTTGGGGGCGCAAGGAAGAGAGGAGAGGAGGTTATGTGGTGCAGGGTGGGGGGAGAGACCTGGTTGCTGGGCTGTAGAAGACCCTGGATAATACAGGGGGCATGAAGGCTGATCTGAACAGGGCGAAGTGCAAGGTGGGCATAGACCACACAAATATGCCAGTCTGCTAGCTCGTTATGGCTTGGAGAGTTTTAATCGAACACCCCAGCACTAGGGCAGAAGGCACTTCGGTGCCAGAGATCAGCTGCTGAGGGTGTGGAAAACTGAACTGTGGCGAAGGGAACACCCCTAAGCATGTACAGAGGGCCTCTCCCTTACAAACAACTGCTAACACCTTGCTTTTTGGGGGGGAAGGGGGTCGAAGGTAGGAAATCAAGCTCTGAGGCATGCTTAATAATAATAGTAATGATAATAATAATAATAATAATAATAATATTCAGATGCAGAGGTGTCACTTCTAAAGCAAAAGAACAAAAGAAGAGTCTGCTACATCAGGCCAAACGGGGCCCATCTAGTCCAGCAGGCTGCTCTCATAGTGGCCAACCAGAAGCCTGTGGTAAACCAGCAAGCAGGGTCTGAGCACAAGAGGATTCTCCCCTCCTGTGGTTCCAGCAAGTGGTCTTCGGAAGCATTTCTGCCTCTGATCATAGAGGCAGAGCACAGCCATCCTGGCTAGTGGCCATTGACAGCCTTATTCTCCTCTATGAATCTGCCTGGTCCTCTTTTTAAAGCTATCAAGGTTGGTGGCCATCACTGCCCCCTGCGGGGGCAACTTCCATAGTTTCTCCTAGAGAAAGCCCATCAGTACATCAACAAATGGACCTCGACCCTTGGCCTCAAGAAAAGATATCTGCAGAATCACCATTCCACAACCTGTCGCGTGGCAGCACCCACAATCTGGAACTCCCTGCAGGGAGCTTCACTGTACCCTTTTCGGTGCCTGCTAAAAACATTTTTGTTTAGACAAGCCTACTCAAAAACGTGGCGTGTTGATGTGTGCTTTTAATTTCTTTTAGTTTATGACTGATTTTTTCTTTTGAATACAGTGGTGCCTCGCAAGACGAAATTAATTCGTTCCGCGAGTTTTTTCGTCTTGCGAATTTTTCGTCTTGCGAAGCACGGTTTCGGAAAAGTTTTGGAAAAGCTTCAAAAATCACCAAAGTCTTCAAAAACTTCAGAAAAGGCTACCACACCGCGTTCTATGAGTTGCTCCTCGAAGTCAAGTTGCAACTGTATTAACGGTTTTAAGAAAAAGGAAACAAACTTGCAAGACGTTTCCGTCTTGCGAAGCAAGCCCATAGGGAAATTCGTCTTGCGAAGCAACTCAAAAAACCAAAAACCCTTTCGTCTTGCGAGTTTTTTGTCTTGCGAGGCATTCGTCTTGCGAGGTACCACTGTATTTTAAAGAGCAGTCTTTACTGACAGTTTTACAGTTTTATTCTCTTTGCAAACTGCTTTGAGGTGGTTGTTGTTGGGTTTTGGTTTTTTTTACAATCAGGTAGTATATAAAAATTGTGAGGTTATATAGATATAATTTTTAGACCGCACACACTAGTGTTTTCTCCCAAGAAGGCTGCACGCCACCAGCAGACATCTCCCGGCCACCCCTCGCACCAGCAGGGCTGAATTCAGGGGGCTCACCTGTCCACTTCGGAAATGTTGTTGATCCGTGCAGCTTCCAGTAGAGAGTCTTCTGGAAAAGACAAAGGAGAGGAATTGCTGTGAACTGGAGGTGATGAGAAGGACAGGCAAGAAGAGAAAAGACACTCCCCCTTTTTAAAGGAATTTTCCTGCTTTCTGCCAGGTTTGGTTCTGGGGGGGAACCACTTGGAGCTGCTCAGTTATTGCCTCCCACCCCTCAAAGCTGATTCCAAAAGAACCAACCCCCCCTCCAAGAATCCCACTATCAGGTCCACATTGATGTTACTATCAGGTGTTTGACCAGGCAGTCCCTCCACTTAAATTTTTTGAGACGGAACAGAATTTCTGTCTGGCACAAGCCACAGAAATCAACACACAAACACCTGCTTTTAGAGCCACAGCACTGCCTCCTGAGCCGGGCAGCCACACAACGTTTTGGGGGGCCAGTGGCCTTTCCCAAACCCTGGGGAATTTTCTGTCCACAGTAAAGCAAGGGTTGTGAGCACCTCAGTGGTTAAATTGGAACAATTCACGCAGTTAAACTTGCTCCTGCAGGAGGCAGTGATTGACTTGGATGGCCTTAAAAGAGAATTAGGTTCGGTTTGCTTCCTGCCGCTCCAGAAGGTAAGACCCAAACCAAAAGATTCCAATGGCAAGAAAGGGGATTCTGACTAAACATTAGCAAGAATCTTCTGACTCTAAGAGCTGTTCAACGGCGGAATGGACGCCCTCGGGAGGTGGTGGCCTCTCCTTCATGTGAGGTTACTCAACAGAGGTGGGGTAGCCATCCATCAGGGATTATTGAGCTGCAATTCCTGCGTTGCAGGAGGTTGGACTAGATGACCCTTGGGGTACCTTCCTCCTCTACAATTCTATGATTTGAGGTGTTGCCCCCACACTCCCAGGGTATGATCCTGAAGACAGACTTCAGTGCATAAGCTACAAGGCAAGGAGCAACAATCAAAACCTCTCTTAATGCACAGCTGGACACTCAAAACAAAAGCTGGTCCCTGCTGTGAGAAAGGCCCAGGAACGAGTCTTTTGAAACAGGCTTCCTGGGGCTCTCAATGGTCTGGACTACAAGTCCCATCAACCCCAGCCAGCACACATGACTTGTAGTCCAAAAACAAGCTGGGGAAGGTTGCAAACCTCAAGCTGCATAAGGTTGCCACTTTGGGAACAGGTGGTTCAAATATGCCACCTCCTGGCCGTAATGCTATAAGTACACCCTGCAAAACTAGCCTCAAAATGCACTTTGAGGACGAGAATGTAAAGCAGGACTACTTGTTTTGATAATAATAATCATGAACTTTATCAAAAACCATTACAGTGGTGCCCCGCAAGACGAATGCCTCGCTAGACGAAAAACTCGCTAGACGAAAGGGTTTTCCGTTTTTTGAGTCGTTCCGCAAGACGAATTTCCCTATGGGCTTGCTTCGCAAGACGAAACGTCTTGCGAGTTTGTTTCCTTTTTCTTAAAGCCGCTAAGCCGTTAATAGCCGCTAAGCCGCTAATAGCCACTAATCGCCATGCTTCGCAAGACGAAAAAACCGCAAGACGAAGAGACTCGCGGAACGGATTAATTTCGTCTTGCGAGGCACCACTGTACTGTAACAACTGTTGCAACGGAAAGCAACTAAAACTCTCCTCTTTAACGGATCATCAACTGAACTTTGATTTAAAAATACAAAGCTAAAAAACGACACGGAAAATATCAAGTTTTTGGTGGTGTTAGGGTGTGCCTGGGCACACCCTGTATGCATAACTAAGCTCACAGGAAAAAGGAGAATCTCCTCTTAGAATTCATTATTGTCCTGAGACACCAACAGGCAAATGAATTGAGAAGAGGAGCATGAGCAAATCCCAATGGAAGTTGTAGCCCAAAACAACCAAGGGAAGGGGCACCAGGCTGGTTAACAGGAACGTAGAACACTGACGCCAAAATTCTAAATTACTACTTATTGTATCCTTTATTACATTTATATCCACCTTTCGCTCCAAGGAGCTCAGGTTCTCCTCCTCTGTGCTTTCTCCTCGCAACAACCCTGTAGGGCAGGTTAGGCTGAGATGGGGTGTCTGGCACCCAGGGGGCTTCATGGCTGACTGGGCGTTTCTCCTAGGTCCTAGCCCAACCCTCTAACCACTAGGAACACTGCCTTTTATTAGCCTTGCTTCGACGGTTCTAAGAGCACTCCAGCGCATACAGGATATATAACGATGGGAAAAGCAAGGGTCTCACCACAGGAGGAGCCAGCGTGGGGTAGCGGTTAGTGTTGGACTAGGACCAGGAAGAGATCAGGGTTCGAATCTCCCAACTGGCCACTACGCAGCTCACTAGGTGTGATCTGGAGGGCCGGTCACTGCCTCTCTCGGCCTAACCTACCTCTCAGGGTTGTTGCGGAGGTTGAAACAAGTGGTGGGTGAAACCATGCATGCTGCTTTGAGCTCCTTGGAGAAAAATGCGAGAGAAAAATGCAGTTATGTTTGTTATTTATAATAAGCAGGGCTGGCCCACCTGGCCTCAGGCAGCACTCAGCTGGGAGGAGTGGCAGATCCAAACCCTGAGGAACCAGCTACTCACTGCCTCCTCTGCTTGTCACCCGCCTCTTCTGCCTCTTCTCCAGCCTCCCTCAGCCCACTGGGGCTTCCTTGGGCTGCCTCAGACGGCAGCAACGGGAGAGGGGGCAGTAGCGGAGTGGACGAGCCTCCTTCCACTTTGCCCCAGGTGGCGAGACGACCTGGTCTCCCCAACAGCAAGCAAAAACCCCCAAAGCCCCAGCATCCCTCATCAACCTCCCCACCGTCCCTCGCACAGGACTAGCAACTTGAGTTCCTCCTGCCGGAGAGCGTCGCCCTGCGGTCACCTTTGGAGACGTTGCCCTTGCTGTAGCAGAACGCCAGCCCGGCGGCCGCCACGGCCGTGGCGGCGAAGGACGGGATCCTGGGTCCGCGCCTGTTGCCGCGGTTCCCTTTGCTGCGGTGGCGCCCGGCCCGCTCCGGGTTGGGCCAGAGGCGCAGGCCGCTGGGCTCCCTGCGGAGCGGGCGGGCGCTAGCGTCCCCGGACGGCAGCTGCTGCTGCTGCTCCTCCTCCTGGCAGGGCAGCCTGGGCAGCCAGCCTCCTTCGGCTGCCGCCCTTTTGCCCGCCGCCAGGGCGGCGCCCGCCTCGCAGGGGTATCTTCCCAGCTGCTGCGCGTCCTGCCCCCTGGCGGCCGGCGCCTTGAACTGCGGCCACGGCGCCTCGTCCCCGCAGCGCCCCCTAGAGGGCGCGCGGCGGCGCTGCAGCTTCGCCAGCCTCACTTCTTCTTCCTCCTCTTCTCCCGCCGCCTGGCGCTGCGGGCGGCCCCTAGCGGCCTCGCCTGGGTACTGCAGCTCCTCGCGCCCGGCCAGCGACGACGAGGCCGACGCCGCGGACGTCGCCGAGGCCCCGCGCACCGCCAGCCGGAGCCCCGCCCTCGCCCCGAAGAGCCGCGCCAGACTCGGCGGCAGAGGCCTGCTCATCAGGCAGGCCAGCATCTCCGCCCCGCGCCGGGTCGGGCCGGCCTACTGCCCGCCACCACGGTCCTGTCACCCTGGAAACCAAGATGGCGGACGAGCCCAGGGCGCCGGCGCTGTGAGGAGAGGACGCGCGCCGGCGTGAAAAGGGTTCATGGGGGATGTAGTCCTGCGGTCCTTTGAAGACGGCCCAGCACAGCTGAGGGAGGACTACGTTTCCCGTGGATACGCGGGCGCCCCCCCTCCGCGCGCGTGCGTCAACAAAGAGCTGCCTTCGTAGGCGGAAATGCCTGTTGGGAAATGTAGGCGGGCATGCGCAGGAGAGCGGCAGGCCTTTATCCGGTAGCGAGGAGGCGGCTGTTGTTGCTGCTGCTGCGGCGGCGGCTATTGCGATTGGCTGGAGGGAAGGCGCGCTCCGGAAAGTCGCGAGTTCGAGACCTGCTGCCGGACCAAAGTGTGGAGTGGAGGGGGGGATATCTTATTTAATATAATTAAATTGATTTTCAGGGCAATTGCTGGTCTGCTTCCTAATGGAAAGGTGATTGTTCCCCAGAGTGAGCCTCTCCCTGCAGGAGATTAGCAGACCCAGCCCATTGGGAGAGGCAGTGCCATACAATGGTTAGAGCGTCGGACCAGGAACTAGGCGGGACCAGGGTTCAAACTGGGATTGCAGCTATAGCATTGCTAGTGGTGTGCATGGCCACAACTTCTACTGTGACCCTTTTGGCTTGTTGTTTGAACAAATCATTTGCCACACTAGAATACTATATTGTATATGTGGTAGGGATTGGCATATCCTTCTTGTAAAAGCAATTTTCAACATTTCCGCATATTCTTAGGGCCAACCAATATTCTTAGGGCCGAACTGGACACAATGGGGGGGGGATTGTTCCTGTTATTGATGGTAACTTTTTTGTATCTTCATTTTAGATGTTGTTATGATTTATATGGAAATTGTATCGATATGGTTGTGTGCTTTTTGATGCTTCTTTGTTGTTTATGACTACTTTGGTTATATTTGTAATTTGTTATATTTTTGCAGTTGGATGTGTTTGCAGCAGAAGGCACGCGCTCGCGCGCGCACACACACACACACACACACTCTTTGGATCAGACCAAAGGTCCACTTAGTTCAGCATCTTCCATCCCATAATGGCACACCAGGTTCCCTGGAAGCGCAACAAGAGGACACAAAGGTGATAGCTTTCTTTTGGTTTTGCTTCTGGACAATTCATTTTCCAAGGTAGACTGTCTCTGAGCATGGAGGTTCATTAGCTTTGCCAGCCGATAACTTCGAACAGATTCGTCATCGTCTAGTCCAGTTCTGAAGCCGCTGCCACATTTTGGGGCCACAAATGTGAATCTCCTGCTGGTCACTTTCACGGGATGATTCTGGAGTTGTAGGATTGTGGGAGAGGGGGAAATGTACATCTCTCTTTCTCCACATCAACTGCCTTTTGTTCTACACCATGGGTAGGCAAACTAAGGCCCAGGGGCCGGATCCAGCCCAATCGCCTTCTAAATCCGGCCTGCGGATGGTCTGAGAATCAGCATGTTTTTACATGAGTAGAATGTATGCTTTTATTTAAAAGTGCTTCTCTGGGTTATTTGTGGGGCATAGGAATTTGTTCATCCCCCCCCAATATAGACCGGCCCCCACAAGGTCTGAGGGACAGTGGACCGGCCCACGGCTGAAAAAGTTTGCTGACCCCTGTTCCACACCATTTACAACCTTCTGAAATCCTCCAAGCAGGATCTGGTTTCCAGCAACTAATATTCAGAAACATTTACTACCTTCAGTTGCGGAGGCAGAGCAGAGCCATCCTGGCTTGTAGCCATTGCTATTCATGTCCTCCATGAATTTCTCTAATCTGCTTCTAAAGCCATCCACATTGGTAACCATCTGTGCCTCCTTCAGGTGCGACGTCCATAGTTTAACTTGCACTGCACAAAGAAATTACTTCTTTTTGCAGGCTTTTATCTCAGGAGTACAACAACCCTGTAAAGGAGGCCCAGTTGCAGTATCCGTATTGCAGAAAGGAATAATAATAATAATAATAATAATAATACAGTGGTACCTCAAGTTAAGTACTTAATTTGTTCTGGAGGTCCGTTCTTCACCTGAAACTGTTCTTAACCTGAGGTACCACTTTAGCTAATGGGGCCTCCTGCAGCCGCTGCGCCACCTAAGCACGATTTCAGTTCTTATCCTGAAGCAAAGGTCGTAACCTGAAGCACTATTTCTGGGTTAGTGGAGTCTGTAACCTGAAGCGTATGTAACCCGAGGTGTATGTAACCCAAGGTACCACTGTAATAATAATAATAAATTTTTATTTATACCCCGTCCTTCCTGGTTCAAAAACCGGGCTCAGGGCTGCTAAGAACAAATTTAAAACACTTTAAAACACTTAATTATAAAAGCAGCATAAAATACAGTATAAAAACATGAATAACCATAAAAATAAAAAATCATTTAGATAATCCCCAGGACTAGCTGGCTGAATTGATCCTACTTAGGCCAGTGAGGAGGCCAGGGGAGAATTAGCTGTGGGGTCTCAGAGCGGGTGATCTTTCTTCATAAAAGGGGAGGGGGAGGGAAGAGAAGGGAAATAAAAGATCAGGCTGAATTCAAATTAAAGGCCAGGCGGAATAGCTCTGTCTTTACAGGTCCGACGGAAGGAGGTTAAATCCTGAAACGCCCTAGTCTCCTCGTTCCACCAGGTTGGAGCCATCACTGAGAAGGCCCTGGTGGAGGAGAGTCTGACTTCCTTAGGGGAAGGCCATGCAAACAGTCCAAGGGGAGATTCGAACTGAGGGTTTCATCTCACTCCTCCTGTTCTCGGTTGCTCTCTGCCGCACCATTTGCCTCCCTTTTTCTGGCTTTTATCTCAGGCAGGAGCACGACGACCCTGTAAAGAAGGCCAGCTGCATTATCCGCGTTATTGATTGCAGAGAGGAAGGGGTTCACTGAAGGCCAGGCAAACAGCTTCATCTCACCCCTCAGTCGTTCTGCTGCACCATCTCTCTCCCTCCCTCTCTCTCTCTGGTCTTCAGCTCCGCCACTGCTTCCTGCCGTGCCCTTTGGCATTGCCCCTGCCCCTGTCTGTGTGCTGCCGAGTATTTAAATGAAAGCCGACAGAAGCAGCTGCAGACACTAATGAGCAGCCCAGATCGTTAGGACCGGGCGGCTCGCAGGGGTGGCGGCAGGGCGCTGGCCTGATGAAGCGGACTCTGCCTCCGAGGCGCCGTCTGTCTGAGACGGTGCTGCTGTGTTGGGTGGGCTGCGGGTGCTTAGAATTCAGGGGAGCCCTCCTTGCAGGGCTGAGTCATAGCCTGCAATGAGGCAACACATTTTCCTGAAGTGCAGAGCAGAGACCAGGGAGGGTGGGCCAGGCAAAAGCTACGGTCAGGCAAAGAATCATAGACGCCGAGAGAGACAACAGGACTGCTCAAGGTGTCCCAATTATAAAATTGGAGAAATCGAGGGATACATAGCCGCACCGGCAGCATAGATCTTCTTTTTCGTATCAAAAAATGCAAGAAGGGCTTTTACACTCGCCAGAAGCTCGGCTCTGCCCTCGCCGGTCCCGGAAGGAGCCTTTAAAAAAGTCCCATATGCTCAGAGACTTTGCGCCTGTTCATTGGGGGAGATAGGAAGCCCAGAGCGCTTGTTCTTTAGATGTCCCTTTTAGGAAGAGGCAAAGCTCATAACATGACCTGGGTGGTTGCCAGATTCTGTGTACAGATCTGTAGGTGCAGACCATCCCCTAACCGAAACTAGTTCATTAAGAAGATCCCCAAACTCGGTTCCATGGCTGACTCTGGATCTCTCTCTCTCTCTCTCCTCTCTCTCTCTCTCTGTGTGTGTGTGTGTGTTTCTACTTTGTTTTTCTCATTGCTAGAACCAGCCTAAGAACCTAAGAAGAGCCTGCTGGATCAGGCCGGTGGCCCAAGTAGTCCAGCATCCTGTTCTCACAGGGGCTGACCAGTTGCACAAGTGGGAACCCAGCAAGCAGGATTCGAACACAAGAGCCTCTCCTCTCCTGTGGTTTCTGGCACCCGGTCTTCAGAAGCACTGCTGTGGAGGCAGAGCATAGCCATCATTAGCTTTCTCCTCCTCCATGAATTGGTCGATTTAGAAGGTCCAGCGCCGAGGGCCTTCTGGTGGTTCCCTCCTTGCGAGAAGTGAGGTTACAGGGAACCAGGCAGAGGGCCTTCTCAGTGGTGGCGCCCGCCCTGTGGAACGTCCTCCCACCAGATGTCAAGGCAATAAACAACTATTTTACTTTTAAAAGACAACTGAAGACAGCCCTGTTTAGGGAAGTTTTTCATATTTAATGCTGTATTGTTTTTAACACTTGATTGGGAGCCGCCCAGAATGGCTGGGGAAACTCGGCCAGATGGGTGGGGTATAAATTATTATTATTATTATTATTTGAAAGAGAACTAGCCATGGAGGCATCAGTGGCTAGTGAAGTTTGGTCGGAAATTCCCTCCTTGTCATTTGAATCCATTGGTTCGGAACCTCCCTTCTGGAGCAGCAGAAAACAAGCTTGCCCCATCTTCCATGGGACGGCCCTTCGGATATTGGAGGGTGGGATATAAACAGTTATAATCATGGAAGGGACCCCAGTGGTCATCAAGTCCAACGCCCTGCATTGCAGGAATCGGGAGTCTCAGCTGAAGCATCCATGGCATCCATTATTATCATGAGAATAATAATAATAGCTACATGTTGCAAAGAAACCAGCCCTGCAAAAGATGAAGAAGGTCTCAGCTTTCTATTGCTTTGGAAGAAGAACGAAACACACAACTCACATGCAAAGCGAGAGCTAGAGATGTTTGTCTGCACCTCTGCTTGGCTTCCTGGAAGAGAGAGAGAGAGAGAGAAATCACAGCAACGGAAATTGTGAGAAAATGCAGAGCCACTTTCGCCTCCCTGGCATGACTCATCTCTGCAGCTCCGAGAGAGCTGCTCTGTTTATTCCTTAGCCCATCTGCCTCTGTTTACAGGCACATGTGGCAAGCCAGACGCTGTTTCTCCTCCTCCTCTTCCCACACGCCCTGCTCCAGGGAAACAAATAATGCCACAGAGGAGGCCTGCCTTTGGATCGCTGCCCCACAATGGGCCAGGAGAACTGGGGTGGATTCACAGCCGCTGCCACCAGCTGCCCCGGGCTCAGCAAGCCACA